CTCCTGAGCTGGATGGCATGAAGGGATCCCCAGGAACAAGACAAGGGGATGCTGCAGTTTCCCCCTGTCTGTAGAGCAGCACAAACAGTATTTGTGCTGGCTGTAGGTAGGTGGAAGGATGAATGTGGATCTAGCTTATTGACCCTCAACACCACTGATCTTCCCCAGGAAACTACTGCCTTTCTCTGCTGGTGTGCCACCCTCCCCTTGTTTTGCCTGGCTTCAGTGTTCAATATCAGATAGCAATTGATTTACTTTCCCTAATTAGATTACAGCCCTGTGGGTGTAAACAGCAGCTGGGAAACTTGAGCTGTGCTCCTGGTAAACACGCCAGCAAAACCACCGCACCCCTCCCAGCGGGACGGTGTCACGGGGCTCAGTGGGAGGCGGCGGGGGACCCCGGGCAGCCGGTGCGCTGGGGCCGGGCCCTCTCCCCGTGAAGAACAGGCTGCGTGGAGTGGGGAGGCAGGTATTTAATTGGAGGGCCGCATGGACAGGCTGTCTCCACCGCCAGTTTGGGGGGCTGTTGCTTGTCCTAGGTAAGAGCTGCCATAGCCCCCCGGTACGGTAACGCAGGGCAGCACGAGTGTCCTGTGTCTCGGTGGTGTAGGCACAGCTTATCGAGGGGTCCTTCTGCGATTGCTCTGTTCAGGCTGCTCCTATGCTGCTCTGTTGGGATGAGCTGTACAAGGCTGGGCCTAAGACTTGGCCTAGAAATTGCTGTAGGTTTTTAAGACGGTGCTCTCTGGTCAGACAGCCCTGGCAGAGTGACCGTGGGGGCACTCCTCGCCCGTGGGCTGCTCAGAGCCTTCCTCCTCTGCGCCTCCGGCAGCGTGTGCCTGTGCAGCTTCGCAGTGCCGAGTGCCCGAGCAGCCAAAGCCGTGGGCTGCTCTCGCGCTCTCCAGTGCGTGTCTAGGGTTGAACTCTTTTTCCTCCGTCCTCAGCGGTGGTGCCCTGCGCAAGCAGGCGTCGGGGGCAGATGAGCTATTTCGGCACGCACCCAAGAGGCCGTTGAGCTGCACAGCCAGGGGAGTATGCTGTGATGGGGCAGAGCTCTCGTAGCTCTGCTCCCGTGAGGAATGCTTTGCCTGTGCAGCAGGCTGTGCTCTGGGCCGGGTAGGTGTAGTCAAGGTTTCTGCTCTAAGGGCAGAGCAGGTAAACATCTGTAACGAGGCAAGTTTTAACTCGATCAGATCAGCAGTACACCTAAGGAGGCTTTTGGGGGTGTCCAGCAGAGAACATGGGGAAAGAGCTGGAGCGATGATGCAGTGAGTGCTGCTTTAGCACCTCCGTGCCTCCTGCTGTGCTGGCAGTTTGTACATTTGCACAATGATCCTGATCCTGCCAAGCAACACCCATGGGCAAAGGTCAGCTGCAGGGTGCAGTTCGGCCTGCGCGTGTCTGAGTGGTGCCATCTAATCTGGTACCCCTGAAAGAGGCATCCCAGTGGCGAGCTTGACTTGCTCAGAGATGCTGAACACTGAGCTGGTGCTGCTCGAGCATCTGCAGCGGGTCCTGCTGCGGTCCTGAGCGCAGGGGCTTCCACTCTGCGTGTGCCGGGCGATGAAGTGGGGCTGCCGGGTGGGAGGTGAGTGCCAGTGCCCTCCGAGTCCTGCATTAGTGACGAACTGGCAGTGCAGTTGCATGCTATTTACATGACCGAGTAAGTACTGGCTAAAGGATGTGTGTAGCTGTGGTTTGGCATGTAAATTTGACAAGTTGAAGCACTTGCACCTGATCTTTTAGGAAACTGTTGTAGGTGGTTTTTAAAGTGTGTAATAAGTTCCCGTCCTGGCTGGAGACAGGGCGGCTGGGGGCTCGGGCTGCCCTGGGTGGCTCACGGGGCACGTGCCAGCGCTGGGGACAATAACCCAGTCCCCAGGCACAGTAGCCTGTCCTGGTTGTTTTTCAGCTATGTGGTTCCCTACTGCAAGTCCCTCTTGCAGCCATGTGGGCCATGTGTCAGAAGGCGGTGTAAGGGCCGGGGTGAGCAGTCAGGATAGGTCCCACTCCTGCGGCATCAGGACACTGCTCAATTTGTGCTGGACTCGGTGTACTGGGATGCCAGGGGAACTGGTATGGGGTTTGTGCCTTCCTGAGCTCCTGTCTGGATTCGTGCTGAAAGGCAGCTTGGTTGGCAACCCCGCTGCGAGCTCCTTAGTTCTCCTGTGGCAGTAGCACCGTTACAGAGGTGCCGCTCAGCACCTCTGGGCACATGTGTGCTTTTGGAAACACAGATCTCCTCCTTCCCTTTTAGTTCCTTCTTTGACATGGAACTTTAGCTGTTAATATGGTAGATATTGGGATGTGTAAATACTGTCAAGAAGGCGCATGGTGTAGCTGTGTGATTTCCCCGCAGGGAATATGGCCGGGCTCCCAGGGATGCTCGGGACCGGCTCTGACCCCACTGGAGACTGAGGCAGCTGGGACCCCCCGGGCGCCCCGTGAGCGCGGTCAGCCTCCGCTGCAGGCAGAGGGACCTGTCTGGGGAGGAAAAGGAGCTCCCGGGAGGCTCGTGTCAGCTGGAACACCCCCGTCCCATACCCGTAATCAGTTCGGATCAGGTTGGCGGAAGGTAATGCTGGGAAGCAGCAGCTACCTCTGCCCTCGTGGTCCCCAAGCAGGCCAAGGATTCCTGACGGAGAGGACTGGTCTCTCATCTGGTGCTAAATTTGTTACTATGCTGGTGGCTACTTTGGGAATGGAAATGGTAAAGTTAACAGTCTGTGGTGTTTAATGAAAATGGTCTGTACCTGTATGTGCCTATATCTACCGCTGCGTCAGCAGGTTTTGGGGAGGTTACGTATGGGACTGGGCAGTGCAGTGGGAGGTAGGAGCTTGCAGTCTGAGGTGCAAAACTTTACTGAGATCAGGGAATATGGGTTGGAGCAGGGAATCCAAGGGAATGACAGCCCCTGCAGTCGTCAGAGCTGTGCTAGGAAAAGACTTAGAACCTGGGTTTGGGTTTGTACAGCCCGTCTGTATCGTTGGTTGGGTGACCTGGGAGGTGTATGGGCCTGTGCTGATGTCTGTCACCATCTGCGTGACAAGGGCTAGAGGAAGGGTGTGCTCTCCTGTGATCTGTGTGGCCAGCCTCGTGTACGTACACGCACGTGTAGTGGCTGTGTGTGTCCCGTGTGCCTGCTGGGAACACATCTTCACCTCGCTGCTGGTCGGATCCGGGGCCGTGGAGCGGCAGCAGCCTCGCCACTCTTAGGCTGTTGCATCCAGATGATGGATTTCCTCTAACGCATAGCAGCTAGGTTTTTAAGGTACTTCACAAACGTTTGTTCCTACCATTGGCATCTAACAAACTTTATGGCTTCTTTCCGTTTTTATAGGAAAAAACATCACCCTGGTCCAGACACTGAAACTTGTCAACCGATGGGACAAAGAGCTGAGACACTTGGCTGTACTAGGACATTAAAACATAGGGTTTAGCCACAGAAAATTTCCCCAGCGTGGAGGCTTACACCTGCCAAACCCTGTAGCATTCTTGGGAGGCTTTTCTATACCTCTTCTCCATTTCCAGCCTTTCACGCATCATGGTATTCCTTTTGACTTCTTTTGCAAGCTAGCTCTGGCTCTGCCTTCCGCTTCCCCTTATGCTTTGGTTTGGGTTACCCAGTGTGAGCTGCTGGCTGTAGGCTGTTCTGCGTTTCTGCCTCCAGCTTCTACTTGGAGGCTCCTCTTGGATGTTGTGACTGACCTGCTTTTTCTCTCTTTTACTGTATCTCTCTCTCCCCCCAATCTGTCTTTTGCATTCTCCATTCTTCCCACCTCCATTACTGCAGGTTCATCATGCCTAGTGGCATATAAAAAGACTCCACCTCCTGTCCCACCTCGGACCACATCAAAGCCGTTCATCTCTGTCACTGTGCAGAGCAGCACTGAATCGGCGCAGGACACCTACCTGGACAGCCAGGACCACAAGAGCGAGGTGACCAGCCAGTCGGGGCTCAGCAACTCCTCGGACAGCTTGGACAGCACCAGGACACCTAGTGTGACGAGGGGAAGCATTGTGACTCCAGCAAGAGAGACTCCGGAGTTACCCCAGAAAAATGCAACTTTGAAAAGTGACAAAGGGACTCTGACTAGCGAAGAGCCTAAAGTGGAGAACATCCCCAAAAGAAAGCTGTCGTCCATAGGAATACAAGTATGGAATAGTTTGTTCTCCTTTGTCCTAAGGAATGTCCTTAACCCATCCATTTAGCGTGTGCCTTTTGTCTGACCAGGTGTGCAGGTGAACTATTTATTCTAAATAGTTATTGCTGTTCTAGCAGGAGAAACCAACTGCCTTGTCAGATTAACCTCCTGTGTTCCCAGGGGTGAAATACAGCAGAAGCTTTCCATAACAGCCCAGAAAGGACTAAGTTCTTTTAGTACAAAATTAAAATGTTTCTTAAAGCAGTGGGACCATGTTAACTGGGTGATTCCCTCTGAAGAGGCCTCTTGCTGCTAGTATGCCTGTGCTCTGTACTATGTGTTATTAACATACATCTGCTCCTTGTCCACCACAGTTCTAGGGGCAACTTTCTTCTGAGAGGTGGGCCCTTCTACATGACATCCACGTAGTATGGGCTGCTGCAGTGTGAAACGGTCCCGGGGCTGTAGGCAGGAGGGAGCGATTCCTTGCTGTCCGCCGTTCCCAGCAGGCTGCTGCTTCTCTTGCTGGAAGCATTTAACTCTGTGGAAATCGATGGAAATGAGCTGTTGATTACGTAGTCAAATGAGAACCCATTGAGTAGTGTAAATCCATGCTTTGCTCAGCGAAATTTAATTCATCTGCAATTGCACGCTCCTCCTGTGGGCAGATTTCCCCGTTACAGGTGGCTGACGGCTGCGAGCGCTTGTGCTGTCCCGAAGCGCTGGTTCAGTGCTGCAGGCTGTTACCTGCAGATAGGAACTCCAGCACTTGGGCGAGTCCAAATGCAGGATCTGGGCTTTGAGCCACCACGTCTGTGCTGAATAAGTTCTCCGTTGTCTTTACAGTAAGGCCAGCTGGCCGGTTAGGTACCTGTGATAGCGAAGGCCTTTCTGCAGGGCTAGTGGGGCAAAGCACATGCTGACAGGGCAGCAAGGTGAGAGAACTCGCACTGGAGAGGCTGACTGCCTTCCTCTCCTCTTCCTTTTCTGAGCTGGTTCCCAAGCCACCTGCCCCGGGGCCTGGATTTCCTTCCTAAAGCCTCCTAACCCTCTTACCCAGAGCTATGGAGGGTGTCAGTCTCCGGGAGAGAGGAGGCTGGGTTTGCTGTCAGTCTTAATCAGATTGCTGCCCTCTCTTCAATCTCTTGGCCTTTGCCCGTGTTGGATGCCGCACAGGCAGCTGCCCCCTCGGGGGCTCACAGCCCTTCCCCAGCGTGCCACAGCCGCGCAAACAGCGGTGCATGGCAGGGCCGAGTGCTCTTGAGCAGAAACCTGGCGGCAGCCCGGCAGGACGCAGTCCTGATGCTCACGTGGCGGCAGAGCTGAGCGTAGCCTTGGGCCTCTCCGGGGACAGCCCTCCAGTTGGTGTGTGGCGTCGGCATGCTGTGTGTGTGTGCAGCGCTCCTGGTCTACTAATGTGAATTCCAGCAGCAAGTTCTTGTGTCTGTTTTTGTCTGTATTTTTTTCGTTTAATAAGGTTGACTGCCTTCAGCCAGTGGCAAAAGAGGAGCCTCCTCCGCCAGCCACCAAATTCCAGTCCATCGGGGTACAGGTAGAGGACGAGTGGCGGTAAGTGAAAGACGCAAGTTTTCGTAGTTTCCTTTCTTTTAAATTGCACTTCCCCCACTTTCGCTTAGACTTCTCCCCTTCTTTGTTCCAATATGAGTGGTGGTGAATGGGGGCCCACGGAGAGCTCTTCCTCCACAGCACACACCCGCTGCAAAAAGCACTTGTTCTGTAAACAGCCAAATCAATGAGAGTTTGAAATTAAAAAAAAAAAGTACAAGATGTTATTATAGATGTGCGTCAGTCCTCTCGTCTGAAAGGCCTATTGCAGTAAGCAGGCAACCTTATAATTTTGTCTGTCTGAATGTGTGGTGTGTGTTTGTGTGTGAGGAGGGGCAGGGCGAGGCTCGGCTGCAGGCATAATAAACAAATGCATTTCCCTGGCAGCGCGCGAGGCCGGCCAGGTTGAGTTCTACTACTGAACGTTTGCTTTTGATCTCTCTAGAAACAGCCACTCTCGCAGCATGTCCTCCAAACAGGACACAGACTCTGACACGCAGGAACTGAATAACTCTAGCTGTAAATCATCTGAGAGAAGCCTCGCTGAGTGCCCCCAACACAACAACTCCGTTGGTGTTGATGCCACTACCCGGCAACCAGCCAAGCCCTCGCAGATTAAGAGAAACCTCTCCTATGGAGAAAACAGTGACCCAGCCCTGGAGCCTTCCTCTCTCCCTCCTCCTGACCCCTGGCTTGAGACCTCCTCCACCTCGCCATCAGAACCCACGCAGCCAGGAGCCTGCCGGCGGGATGGGTACTGGTTTCTGAAGCTGCTGCAGGCAGAAACGGAGCGGTTAGAAGGCTGGTGCCGTCAGATGGACCAGGAGACCAAAGAGAACAATCTCTCTGAAGAAGGTAGGTGGTGTCAGCCTCTGGATTAGACTGGAGCAGCTCCTCACTCGACAGAGAGTTGTAACCGAGCATTGGATCAGTTTTCAGCAGTTAAATTGCCAAGAGCCCACAGAGTAAGGGTAGAACATGGAGATGAGTATGGGATGAGGAACATTTTTTCTTTGGAAAGGATCAGGTAACTTCCTCTAGCAGGTGGGGGAAGAAACAATACTGTGATGCAGCACAGAAGACTTCCAGGGGATGGTGCAGCTGCTGACCACTCGGAACTGCTAAAAGCTTAAATGGGTTGCTTTCAGGGAGGCTGTGGGATCTTTCTCCCTGCCGAACCCATTGTACTCGAGCGGGCAGGTGAAAGTTCAGTTGGTAGCAGGGCAGAACGAATGTGACTTCTGAGCTCGTTTGGTCTGCTGAATTGGTGGACTTGTCTCCACAGCAAAGAGGAGGCATCGTCATATGGGAAAGCTTCACTGAATTTGTACTAAATACACCAAAAGCAATGCACAGGGAACACAAGGCCACTTGATTTTATTGGGTTCAGTCCCTATCAGGCTTGTTTCATTATTTTCAAATGAGTTGGCAAAACCTGTGCTGCTTGCAGTGAAAATCATGCTAGGGTGCATACAGAGTGACAGAAGTGGGTGACTGGGCTGCAGAGGGCAGGATCTTTGTTTTGAGTCGGCTTGATTTTTATTTTTTCAATACCTGAGAAAGGTGAAATAATGGTGAGACTCGGTTATAGCTCGGTGTCGCTGCTAGGGCTTGGGGGAGCTGATCTCTAATCCTGTTGCACTAAGATGCTGCACTGGCCGCCAAGCTGGGCGGGCTGTGCCAGGGCTCTCCCAGCCTCAGGGGATGCCCTTCCTTTGCCTGGGGCAAGAAAAGACACCAAGAGCCGCGTGGCCTTGTATCTGTGACCTCGAAGAGCAATCTCCTAGTAGAGTCTGTAACCGAGAACTTGGTGGGTACAAGGGAGCCCAGCTCGCGCTTGTCCCACCAAGATCTGTAAATGCTCAGAACTGACCCCGTGGGTGCAGCAGCAGACCAGGGAGGACAGGGGGAACCAGTTCGTCCCTGGCCATGGTGCAGTTGCAGGCACTGTGGGTCTCTCAGCCCTGCCTTTGGAAGGGAGAAGCCCATGCGGTGTTTTTGGCATTAATGAGCAGAGGAATGTTGCCATACCCAGCAGCTTCTCGGAAAACCCACCAAGAGCAGCACAAAGTCCGGGTACTAAAAGCCCTAGCCTGCCAGTATTTCAGTCCCTTCTGGTAAGTGGAGGCTGGAGACAGTTCTGCCCCTCGCTGCCTTCACCTCTTGCATGAGTGGAAAAGCAGGTTGTGATTGCAGGCAGGTGCCAGCAGATCTGCTCGCTGAGATCCTGCTGGTGGCTTGTCTGATGGGCTGAAGGCAGCTTAAGGCACTTTCTGCAAACTCTGATGTCACATTCTCAGCCCGGCCTGCTTTCGACCTGCTCTAAAGGAGCAATAACGGATGGCACAGACAGACGTAGATTATAGTTTCGATACATCTTTCCCTGAGAGCAATTATTTCCTTGGGGGTCTCTGAAACTCCTTTCCTAATGAATCAGGAGTGTTTCTTTGCTCCAGAAACACTTGAGTTCATTGCTGCATTTAACAGTCTGTTCACCTGAGGTCTTTTTCTCTCTCTCTCTCTCACAGTCTTAGGAAAAGTCCTGAGTGCAGTGGGCAGCGCACAGTTACTAATGTCACAGAAGTTCCAGCAATTCCACGGCCTCTGTGAACAAAACTTGGTGAGTCTGGATCTGTTTCTCCTGGGCTTTGGGAGCGGGATGTATCTGTTTCAACAGCACTACAGGAACATGATCAGGTATTAACAGGCTGCTGTTGCTGTAAAAGCCGAGCCAGTGCAGCTGTAGCCTGCAGCCTGACCGCCGTGCCACGGTGGATGAATGCCGATTTAAAACAGCGGCTAAGCAGTGGGAGGCTGATCGCCTCAGCCTCTCTTCTGAACGGGCAGTTCTCGGGCCGTGCTCCGCTCCGGGATGAGTGTTTGCAATTCCTTTTGGTGCTTACGTGAGCACAGGGGAATTTTCTTGAACTGCTGATCAGGGCATGCTGAACACGCAGAGTCTCTCTGTGGGTCTGAACTGTCAACCAGCCGTACTGCTGTGTGTCCTGGAAACTACCTCTTTCTTATTACTTCTAAAGGGCTTTTTGAGGTGAACCACCAAGGTTTTGCCAAACGGGGGAATGTTTGAAAAGTCTACTGTTCTTCTCCAAACATGCTTGCTTTGCATGTAGATTTATGTGGATGGTAAAACTGTCCCGACTGGATTGTCCCTCGCTGGTCGCAAAGCACTGTTTGACTCGGATCCCTTCAAATGTTATGCAAGGGTTTGCCCTTGCTGAGAGCCGAACAGGGCTCATGCGGGGTTGGGCAGCAATCTCTGGTTTTCCCCTCAAGCTTTATTGTGGCATGGATTTTGCAAACTTCCTCAGAGGTGAATTCCCCTTTACTTGCAAAAAAAACTTAGAGAAACTTGGGGAGGAGGAGGAGGGGGTGAAGTGCTGAGCATCTGCTTGCTGGTCTCCCGCTGATCACTAGCTGCCAGGCTTTCCTCAGCTTTGCGCCGAGGTCTCCCCTTGGTGCTTTGTGGTGAGCTGCTCGGATCTGATCCCCTCCTTTCCCGAGACCATCCAGGCCTATGATGGCAGCTCAGATATCTCAGAACTGGGAAAATTCTGTTCTTGGGAGAAACTTAAGCTATGTAAAATCTTTCAACCTCGCCTGAGAAACACTGATACTTTCAGATTGTTTTGTGGGGGGATGTAGATTTTGCTCGTGAAGGCTATATTGGCTTCTTTGGATTGCTGTCCACCGGCACGCAAGTTCTCCAGGGAGAATGGAGCTATTGCTTTCTGCTATGGAGAGCGTCTCTTTCAGGATTCTTCTTCAAGGCCCTGTAGGAGAAATAGAGCCAGGATCTCTGCTTCCTGATCTTTGCAGGAACAGTTTTGACTGTAACTGATGGCATTGTGTCTCTGCATCTTTAGGGCTGGTGTCTCCTGTGGGTTCTTGACCTTTCAGTTGTCAGGCAGGTAGACTTACAAGGGGTGAACATTGTAAGCTGGGAGGCTGCTCTGCTTGCCGGGAGGGTATACCCTTTCTGAAAGGGTTTTTTATGCTTTCCCATCTAGAACCCTAATGCCAATCCCAGACCCACAGCCCAAGACCTAGCTGGGTTTTGGGATCTCCTGCAGTTGTCCATAGAAGACATCAGCATGAAGTTTGATGAGCTGTACCACCTGAAAGCTAATAGCTGGCAACTGGCAGAGACACCGGAGAGAAAGGTGAGTGTGGGGCGGTTGAGAGCAGCCAGAGCACCTCGCGGACGTTTTGGGTATCTGAGGCCTGTTTCTGTCTGCAAACAGAAGCTCTCTGGGGCTTTTACCGTATTGCACTCGGGCAGCGTAGTCTCACAGCCTTGCAAGGCACTGAGACCGGTCCTCTTGAGTAGTAGCGCCAACAATTTTGTACAAGGGGAAAAAGCACTACGATGGAGAGGGACCAGAGCGATGAGCGGTGTATGCTTAAAGCAGTGGCACAGAGGCCTCTAGCGTTGCAAGTGCTGCATGAATGGGTTTGAACTGTTCTCGGTGTCTGAGTAGCACAAAAACACCTACTGGAACCTTGTGAAAATGCAGCGCGGGCTGTGTCCCTGGGCCAGGCTTCCTGACTGGGCACGGGGGTGGGACGGCGGACTACGGCTCTGGGCAGGGCGGCACAGGGACGTTTTGCAGTTCCAGATCAAGTGCAGTCTTTGTGCTGCCTGTGCTGTGCTCTGACCTGTAGCTGGGCCAGACACAGTCTGCAAACTCTAGTCCACTTCACAGGCAGCCTCTGTGCCGTGGCATGCAAAAAGGCACGTTTCTAGAAATGGGGGGAGCTGATTTTGAGCGTCTTGCTCAAGAACTGCTCCCGTTTCTTTCACCTGACAGTCAACCTCATTGCGTAGTCCCTCATGCCGTAAGAGTCCCCACCATACCAGAGAGCAAGCTTCTGTATATGCATTTTTATTTTATGTTTGGATTTTTTCCTTACTGTCTCCCTAAAGGAAGAGAAGAAACCACCCCCTCCAGTGCCAAAGAAGCCAGCCAAGTCCAAATCCCAGCTGAACCGGGACAAAGCCTCTGATTCAGACAAGCAGCGCCAGGAAGCTCGCAAGCGTCTCATGGCCGCCAAGCGGGCTGCCTCTGTCCGGCAGAACTCGGCCACGGAGAGCGCAGATAGCATCGAGATCTACGTACCTGAGGCACAGACCCGCCTTTGAGCAAAGGGGCAGAGGAAGGAACCGTGTGGTTTTTATAAGTCATTAAAAAGGAGAAAAAAAAAAAGGTTCTCTCTAAACTAGTGTGATTTATTCAGTCTAGAGACAATGAGCCATCCTTGAAAAGGGCTCCTGAGTTGGCTTTTTTTCTCTCAGCTTTAAGTAATGAAGATTTTAACAAAAAAACAAACAAAAAAAGAAAAAAATACCCCTCGTTTTCTCACTGGCTGTGGTGTTGCTGAATGGACTGAACAGACTCCTGGAACTCCAGCCCCTCGACTTGGAACTTCAGTCTTTTTACTTGTTCTATCTAATGAGAATTATTAGCTTGTTTACAAGAAGAGGACAAGAAAACGTGAAGCCTTGAGCACTTGCCATGCTGTGTTCTTCCTCCTCCTCAGTTCTGTTCTTCCTCCTCATCCTTTATTTTTTCCTCCTCCTGCTCCCTTTATCCCACCTTTTGCATGGCTTCGTTTACTGTGTTAGAAATAACCTCTCTTCCACAGAGCTCCCGAAGAGAACACCGTTCAGTGTGTACTACTGTTGCACTCTGCTAGCAAGCAGCCTTTCTTGGGGTTTTTTTGTTTTCCTTTTGATGGGGATACTGGGGGGGAGGATGGGCGGGTGGGGGCAGGGCAGTGGGTTTGTATTCCTCTGTTTTGTTGAAGTGAGAGGATGACAGGGTCTGTGGAATGTAACGCAGAGTTGTTAAAACGCAGCCCAGAAGCAAATGTGCAATAAGGCAGCAAAGGGGGAAGGGGCAGAGCTTGGCTGGCTGATCCTGAGAGCGGAACCCTCCTCCGGGCACGGGAGGGGAGCCGCAGGACCACAGAGCAACTCCGGGCACGATCCACACACGCTTCCCTTTGATTTTTCTCCCCTTCCCTTTATAAAGTTATTTTCCTTGAATTGCTTGTGGAGAAAGAAGCTGCTACACTGGGGGACCTGTTTCGAAGCGGGCTGGGCAAGGGGAGGGCTGGGGCGAGCGTACCGGTGTTGCGGGGGGGAGGACTGGGTTTTGTACAAAGCGGAGGGCACAGGTAGCTGGTGGTAGGCTGCCTGCCTGTATGTATGTGTACATATGCACATATACACTTAGTAGTACCTGTACATTAATTCATACACACGTATACATGCCCATACGCACAGCGCAGACGGTGATTAAAAGCACCTTGGTGAGAATGGGCATATGTATAGCATATATTTTTACATGTACTATATCTAGATGTGTGTAAAAGTGTGTGTAAAAATATATACCCTGTGTGTAATCAGATGACTATTTTTTCCTTATCTCCCTGCTCTCTGGGTAGAGGAAGGTTTGCTAAATATTTTTTAGCCCATTTTCCCCTTTGTAGGTCTCCTTTTCAGTCTGGCTTCTTGAAGCCAGAACTGCCACCACCCCCTCAAAATAAGCATTTGGCCCCATCCTGAGCGATCTTGCTGGGGATTTTTTTTTTTTTTCCCCGTCACTTGCTTGAATGAGTTGGGAGACTGTGTTACTTCTCACGGGGGTGGGGGCGGAATCCCAAAGAAGCTTCAGCAAGGGTGTTGGTGATCCAGAAGGCAAAAAAAAATAAATAAAAGTGAAATCCTGAATGTCTGAGTGAGCAGTGTATGCTGTCCAGTGTTGTCCACGCACAGGTGCTCTTGGAGACTTCTGCCCAGCTACAGAGCTGGATTCCTGTCGCAGCCTGGCCATGGCGTAACTGGAAGGGAGCGCTGCGGGTGGCGACGCTGGGCTGCGCTGCCGGGTTCTGGGGAGGACTGTAAAGATGCAGTTGTAGAGAGATCGAGCATTGAAACGGGGAACGTCAAGGAAAGGTGATTTTTTTGTTGTTTTTTTTTCTTTTAAAATTTCCTCCTCCGAAAGCGGCCGGGGCTGCTGTGGGGGAGCCGCCCTGGGAGCTGCTTTTCCTGCGCTGGCCGGCTGCTGTCAAATGGCCGTCGGGCCCCCGGGCTGCAGCAGCGCAGGATGAAGCGCAGGGCCGCTGCGGGTCCCGGGGCCAGGCCGGCAGCGGGGGCGAGCGCGCGCCTGCCCCACTCCCGTTTTGTCTCCCGCCACCTCGGAGGAGGAGGAGGGCGGACAGCCGCGGGCCAGCTGGCTGACGGACCGTCAGCAGACAACAAATAAACAACAAATAAGCGCCGCCTGCGTCCACAGCGGCCCGCGGCCTCTCCCTTTGTCCTCGGCGCTGGCGGCCGTGGCGGCGAGGGCTTGGGCGAGGCCCAGGGTGGCTCCGGGCCCCCAAGATGGCTGCCGTGGGGGCGGTGCAGCTGGCGGAAGTCCCGCCCCCTCCTGCAGCCCGATAGGGCATTTGCCCCGGAGGCCCGCCCTCCT